TCACTCAATGGCCCATCTCTTCCATTCCAGAACAAATCACTACATGGGATCTTCATCAGAACCTATCTAAAAAATTACTTAGGTAATTTGTAACCACACAAAATACAGATTTATAGAGAGAGAAGTGGACTTGTGGCTCAGATGGAGTAACAGAGGATAACGGAAGAAAAAGCTCTTTGCTTCCTTCTACGGTGAAGTAATAATAAGCTATCTCAGTTGCCAAAATAACAAAAAGTTAAACTAACACAAAAATTTGTTAGAAAGGAAGTACGTAATCACTAACCACGTGGCTCCTAACCACTGGCTTCCAAGAGCAACATGTAAGAATATGACGAGATGAACTAGACAGTGATTCTAGCAGGAGCTCCCAACAGGAATGTTAGTAGAAATGCAGAAAGTGAAGATTTCTGATAGACTGAAATGTGAATTATAAAAATTGCTCGAGGTTTCCAATGGGATTGAGGACTCATTTGGGAAGCAGACTAGAAGGCCATTTATGTCACATTCTAGCAAAGACCTTATTTACATATCCATATCCTGAGACTCTGTACAACTCCAAGTTTAAAGGTAGCAGACAAATTTAGGCTATGCAATTATGGCTGATTGTTTTTAGTCAGGTTAACAGTGATAATTTCTCCCAAGAAGACATAACAAATGGCCAATCAGCACATGAAAAGATGCTAACATCACTACAGATTAGGGAAAACACAAATAAAAATTGAAAATACAGAGGGTGGTAAGGATGTAGAGAAACTGGAATTTTATACGTGTTAGTAAAAATACAAAATGGTGACTCTGGTATTGCAAACAATACAACATATATACATCCATAAATACATCAACAATTAATAAAAAAAAGAGGACATGAATTGGAAAGAAAGTGGTGGTATATGGGAGGTATATTGGAAAGAAAGAGGTGGTATATGGGAGGTTTTGGTGGGGAATAACGAAAGGGAAGGAGCAAATATAATCTCAAAAATAAATATATAAAAAACTAAAAACAAAACAGTTATTTGAAAATAAAAAACATAATTACCACATTTCACCAATTGCTCTTCTGGATACAGACCCAAAAGAATTTAAACTAAAGAATTTAAAATAAAATTTTTTTTGTACGCCCATGTTCACAGCAAAGATTATTTACAATACCTCAAAGTTGAAGAAAACCAAGTGCCTACTAACTGGTAAGTAAGTACATAAGTAAATAAGTAAGTAAGTAAGTAAGTAAATAAATAAATAAATAGATAGATAGATAAATAAGGTAAATACATATATTATCCAGCCTTAAAAAGTGAATTCTAATACTACATACAGCAATATGAATAAGTCTTGGAAGGCATTATTTGCTAAGTCACAAAAGAACAAATATGATTCCACTAATAGGGGTATCTGTATTGGGTAAAGTTCATAGATACAGAAAGAACTTATTACAAAACTATAGTAATCAAAACATTGTGGTACTGGAAAAACAAACAAACAAACAAACAAACAAACAAAAAACATACAGAGTAAAAGAATAGGGTGCCCAGGAAAATGTCCTTACATATGTGGCCATTCTGTTCCATTTATATATTGACAAGGTCCTAGGCAATACAAGATACTTAATATATTCTGAATTTCAGCTCTAAATATAAATGAGTTCTATAGATAGATATTGATGACATTATACACTGTTGTGAATGTAATCAATACTACTGAATTGAATGCTTGAAAGTACTGAGAGCAAATGTCACCTGTTTTATATTACAAATTTTAAAAAATAAAGTGAGAGCCACGCCCTAGAGAGATGGCTTAGTGGGTAAAAGCAACTGCCCTATAGTTTGAGGAGCTGAATTCAAATAATCACTGTAGCACAAGTGTCTATAATCCTGATGCTGCTATGGGGATCCAAAAAGCAGCACAGGCTACCTGGTCTGACATACGCAGTGGAAAAATATCAGAGCCCGTGTCTCAAACAAGGCAGACAATGAGGCCTGACACCAGACACTGGCTGCTGACCTCTACATGCACATAGTGGCCCATGTGTATGCAAGGGCGCGAGCGCACTTTCGCATGCACGTGTGCATACACACACAAGCGAACCAAACACGGTAGTTAGTGCCAGTAATGCCAGAACTAAAAAGGTAGAAGCAGGACAATTATGAGCTCAGGGCCAGCCTGAGCTGAGCTGAGCTACATGGTGTAAGCCATTAGGAGCTACACAGGAAAACCAGGAACCACTTACACACACACACACACACACACACACACACACACACACACACACACACGATGTTATATGCCACAAGGAGCTATACAGAAAAACCTGGTATCACTTACATGCATGTGCATGCACACACAATGGAAAAAGCATTTAAAATGATAACCGAAAAGAAAATTGTCAACAAAATTAACAGCATATTTGGTAATGGAAATTGAACTCTCCACCTAAGATTAAGAACAAGACAAGAGTAACACTGTCACCTCTATCTACCATTACACTGGAAACCTTAGCCAGTACAGTAAGAAAAATAAAAACCATAAGCATCGAAAAGGAAAACATAAGGCTGTCTTTATTCACAGTTGTGCACACAAAAGTCCCAATAAATTTTTTTAAGTGACTAGCAGAACTCATAAACAAATCAAATACAAACTCAATATACAAAACCAATCACATTTCTATATAACAATTAGGAAACAAACAATTTGGAAAATAAACTTTAAAACCAGACTGGTTCATAACAACATTAAAAAGCAAAATAGGAATAATTTAAAAAACCAGGTATTAACATTAATTGTTTCAAAATATTAATGAGAAAAATAAAGATAGTGCAATAAGTGGAAAGACAAATTAAATGCAAGGATTAGTAAGACTGCTCTTATTAAGATGACAGCCAGGGACAGAACCCTGTGATGGAACACTTTGCCTCACAGGGCTAAGAGCCTGAGTTTACCTAGTACTACAAAAAAGAAAGACAGGGCTGTAGAGATGGCCCAGTGGTTAAGGGCACTGGCTGCTCTTCCAGAGGACCTGGGTTCAATTCCCAGAACCCACATGGTAGCTCACAACTACTGTCTGTAACTACAATTCCAGAGAATATGACACCTTCACACCAATACATATAAAGAAAAATTAAAAATTAAAAAAAAAAAAAAAGACAATTCTTCTGACAGGAAGAGTGCAATTCAATAGAAATATCAGTGATGTTTTTGGAATTTTTTCCTTTTCTTTTATGTGTTCGCTTTTCCTATATGTAGCCTTGGCTGCCCTGGACTCACTTTGTAGACCAGGCTGGCCTTGAACTCACAGAGATCTGCCTGCCTCCCAGAGTGCTGGGATTACAGGCATGTGCCACTGTGCCCAGCTATATTTTTGTTTTTTAAAATAAATTGATTCTAAACTTTATATGGACTTTTTAAGAAAAAAAAAAAAAAAAGCTAAGCCAAATAATATTGAAAGGAAGAATGAAGGTGGCCCCTAGTTTCAAGACACTGACTTTTATGAAAAGATTTAGAAAGATTAATAGAAAAGAATAAAAAAAAAAATTCACAGGTTCAGTTTTTTGTTTTTATGGAAAACTTCTAAATATTCATTGAGACTTCTACAAATAACATTAGAAGACACAAATTTTCATATTAAAAAAAACTTTGATTCTATGGAAAAAAACTTGTCAAAATTATGGTCATGAATGTAGTCCTAAAATCATAGTTTCTGAAAAAAAAATGGAATTTGCTTAGACTAAGATTTCCTAGTGAAGATATAAGAATCAATACCAAAAGATTCCAAAAAACAGACTTCATAACAAATTCCAAGTTGTATTCCTCATAACACATGTTAAAAATGAAAACAAAAACCACAGACTAGGAGAAAATATTCATACCACATATGCCAACAATACAAAAAGGAGACAATAAACAATGTTTTTAATGGTCAAGACTTGAACCATTTAAACAGATGACATATGATACAGTTACCAACATGACTGGCCTTTGGAGAAATGTAGATTAAAAATATCCCATCTCTTTACAGTGCTCACTAGTGTTACAAAGATGAAAACCTTAACAATTTCAATTACTTGCAAACATATGAAACAGGAATTCACATGGTACTAGAACTATAAAATATAAAAACCTTCTGGAAAACTAGTGACTCTACACGAAGTTTAATGTATATTTATCATATAAACCACCAATTCCTAGCATGCCTTAGAGAATCAATAAATATGTATGCATATAAACCTTTATGTAAGTAATCTTATAGCTGGCTTATCTGTAATAAATGTAGAAACAGGCCAGGTGCCAACAGATTATTACCTGAGATATTGTCAGTGAATGGACTATTGAAGCAGTGAGACCGCTCAGTAGGTAAAGGCCCTTGACAGCAAGCCTAACAACCTCAGTTCAAATCCTGGGATCCACAAGGTGGAAGGAGAAAACAGATATCCACAAGTTGTCCTTTGACCTCCATATATACACCCTGGCACATGCACTACCTTCACACAGTAAATAAATAAATATTAAAGAAGGAAGGAAGGAAGGAAGGAAGGAAGGAAGGAAGGAAGGAAGGAAGGAAGGAAGGAAGGGAGGGAGGGAGGGAGGGAGGGAGGGAGGGAGGGAGGGAGGGAGGGAAAGAAAGAAAGAAAGAAAGAAAGAAAGAAAGAAAGAAAGAAAGAAAGAAAGAAAGAAAGAAAGAAAGAAAATAAACTATTAACACATCACAGATTACTATCAAATACTGGGCTAAAAAGGCACAAAAGAGCAAATGTTGTGTGAAGCTATGCATTTAAAATTTTAGAACAAGAAGTGAGTTACTAGGTTTGGGGGATTGAGTAGTGGATCAAAAGGGGAAAAAAGCATAAGAGAATTTTGAAGATGGATTACAATGGTAAACACACTTGTAAAAACTGCTTTGCCTTATATTTTCAGATAGGAGCATTTCCTTCTATGAAAAGTTCCCATCTCAGTTTTAAAGATACAAAGAACAAGGCTTTGGGGGCACACAGAAAAGCTCCACCACTTACCAGGTGTATGACCTTGGCCAAGTGTTAAACTGTCAGTCTCCCCATCTGCAAAGTAGAAAGAGCTAGAGTTGAGAATAACTTCATAGGAAAAGTAAACAAGATAATACTTTAATGACATAATATAGTACATGCTCATTAACTATTAACAAAGAAGTTAAAAATCTTATTCCCATATTTCAGCCAAAGAGAAAGATGCAGGAATAACTCGTAAGTAAACACTGGTTAACTCACACTTGTTTTGTTACAATGACCCCTAGGCAAGGATCATTCCAATTTTGTAGACGATGACTTTGGGCTTCACAGGTATCCGCAGATGTCAGCGTGCAAGCCTTCACTTGTGCATTCTTTTTTTCTGACATAGTCTCATGTATTTCAGGCTGGCCTGGAATTTATTGTACATCCCAAGATAATCTCGAACTACTACTGATATTCTCATGACTCTACCTTCCACATTCCGGGATTACTGCACCATGATTTCCATACAGGGGCACTTTCAGCAGTTAACCCTACAACTCAGCTAATATTAAAAGCTACATAATGTGCCTTTTTCGCCTTCCCTCCCTTTCTCTCTTTTCTTTCTCCCTTTCTCTCTTTCTCTTTTCTTTCTCCTTCCTTCCTTTCCCTCCCTTCCTTCCTTCCTTCCTTCCTTCCTTCCTTCCTTCCTTCCTTCCT